TAGTTCAGAAAAGTCATCTCCTAAAACCTTTTCCACCCACATTACTTTCCTTTGAACCAGCTCCCTGGAAGGACTCTGTCTTCCCCAGCCTCTTTTCCTGACGGTGTCCCGTCTCCCAAATTGGCTTCTTTTCCTTACACAGGGCTTCCCAGAGAATCCAGGATGGCAATGGGGCGATGGGGTGGAGTGTGTAGGAGCAGTCCTGACAGAGATAAATCAATACTGAAAGGGTGTTGGTGAAAGAGGATTGTATGGAAATGCTTGGCTAACAAGAGAACGGATCTAGTAGAAAAAATCCTCTGCTCACTGTGGGAGGGCCCCAGCTCTCGCCCTGGTTGTGGGTGTGGGATCTTGGTCACCTTCATTTCTTTACTCTGGGCCTCCCCCTTTAACCCCCCTCACCCCCACACCCCAATCAGATCACTGGGCTAGTTCTCTCAATCTGTGATATTCTGGAAGTCTCAGGCCTCGGGGTTCCCCATGGGAATGGAGAGATTTTCCCCTTCCCTGCTGGGCTCCTAGGGAACTCGGTTGTCCTGATGGGCGGAATGGTTTGTACAGAAGAGTAGAGCCGCGATCTGGGAGCTGAACGAGGACGACCGCGGCTGCGCTTCCCTTAACAGCACTCACTGCACTGCCACGCGTGGAATCCATTTTTCCTAGATGCTGTGTGCTCTGCCATCCACCCCGCGCGGGTCTCACCCACGTCCCAGAAAGGCGGGCACGGCGGACTGGCCTGGGGACTATTAGCTGTTGTGTGGATGCAACCATCTCTCGAGCTCTGCGTGGGTCTGCCCGCCCCGACCCCCACCTCCCAGTCATAATGGGGACGGTTGGTGGCTGGGAGGCTGGCAGAGAAGCCTGGCTCTCTTTGGAAGGAGATGGAGCTGAGGCAGATGCTGGAGAAAGAGGAGCCGGGAAACTTTTGTTTCCGGGGATAATACTAGAACCTTCCGCAAATGATTCGGATTCACCGTCTGAGTTCTTCAGCATCTGCCTGGGAGGGGACCGGCAGGCAGGACTGCGTTGCTTCTTTTTCTCCCGCCCCAGTATTGCCTGTGCGGATCCATCAGTTACTCCTCGTGGCCTATGCGGCCTGAGGAAGGGAGCAGAAGAGGGTATCCCGTCCATACCCTGCCTCCAGAATGCTATCCCCGGTTCTGTCAGATACACTCCCTAGAAGACTTTAGTTGTTCATATCTGTACCTAATAGTGGCTTCTGGCAAAGCTGAATGTGGGGACTACCTCCTTCTGCAGCCCCAACTCACTTCCTCAAGGAGTTGGGGTCAAATGTGCTGTTAGGCTCTTAGGCTCTTCAAACAAAATAATCTCAGGTCCTTCTGTTCTCTCTTGTGATTACGATGGCCTTAACGTTTCCTCAGCTTAACTAAAGTTTGGACAGGCTTCTTCCCAACTCTAGCCCCTGACCTCCATTTTCATAGAGCATTTACTTTAGAAAATTTTGTTGTAAACCCTTTCTTTTTCCCTTTGAGATATAAATCTTCTCCCAGTCTCATTCCAGTTTTACAACCCAGGAAAGGACCTGAGAAGCCTGTCTCTAAAATGTAAACATCAGAGAAGATAGCGGCCCTCTCTCCCAGTTTCTGTAGAAGGGTGGGGACTTCAGCGGTTGGGACTTCAGCGGTGGGGGCAGGGAGGTCCTAGCTCCAGGTTGTAAAACTACCTCCAGTCATGAAGATACCAGAAAGTTTACTTTTCCTTTGGGTAAGGCCAATTACCAAACACAGAGTCTAAGATTTCCCCCATCCCAGCTCCTAAAAACTCACAGCCCTCTGTTCCCATTAGTGAGGTGTCCTGGTTTCATCTGTACTCTATGTTCTCGCCCCTATTGCTGGCAATAGTATCGTAAAATCAACCTCTGTCAGTTCATTGAGTCTGGTGTGATTTTTTTCTTAACACTCATGGTTATAATTTCCCTTAAATTCCTCTCTTTTGGACTTTGCTATCTTGCAACTTATTAGGCAGCCAAGTAATACATTACTGGAAGTGTGCGTGTGCGTGCGTGTGAGTGTGTGTGTGCACGCGTGCGTGTGCGTGTGCTGTGAGTATGTGTGTGTGTGTGTGTGTGTGTGTGTGTGTGTGTGTGTGTGTGTACTCTGCCACTCTACTAAAATTTTCTTGGGGGAGGAATGTGTCTAAGATGNTTCCCTGATTCCCCAACACTTTTCCCTTCCCCCAATTCCCCAATAAAATCTTTAAAACAAAAAGGAAAAGTTTCAATTCTGACTGTCTTTGAAAAAAATCATTGTCCCTGATGCCATCTTCTCTGTGGCCCTAGGGCATAGGTGGTATAAACTACAGGAGGCCAATTTTCACTTAGTTTAAACAATATATTTTAAGCCAAAATGCTCAAAAGTATAAGGGATGCCTCCAAAAGAGTTAATACTCAAAACTCACATCAAGAGGAAAGACATTTGAGAGAGAGAGCGAGAGCGAGAACAAGAGAGAGCGAGAGAGAGCGAGAGAGAGCGAGAGAGAGCGAGAGAGAGCGAGAGAGAGAGAGAGAGAGAGAGAGAGAGAGAGAGAGAGACTCTTACTTCTTGAGCCTTTGCCCACAAAAGTCTGGCAGAGGTTGAGGGGTCTGGGTCTGCTGGGCCAGCAGCTCTCCTCTTCACTGTCCCATTGCACCTGAAACCAAGATCCCAGTAGAACTCAGTCAGAGCCAGCGGTGGGGAAAAGTGCAGGATGGCAGACAGCTGTAGGGGAAGGAGGCTGAGTGTACAGGAGAGACTTGGCCTCTTCTCCTTCAGTAGTGAGGAAGGCAGCTGCTGAAGTGCAGCTCTACTTTTAATGAGAGGTGACATACATGCCAAATGATATTGCAAATTATCACAGCTTCCCTTTGTGGCAAAGACTGGAGAGCTTTTCCAAGAGACCCTAGCACTTGATGGCAGTACTTTACACTCAGGAAAGAGGAGTCCTGAGTTTTTGAAAGTCCATGGGGTAGTTGGTGAATCCAGGGGATGTGTCCACCTGGACCCTACTCTACCCCTTCTAGACCATGCGCTAGTTACCCAGAATCCTGAATATGCTGCTCAAATGGCCCCAAGCCTGCTTCAGTGAACTGCACTGGTTTTACCTGGTGTCTGTCCTCTCTGTTAGTATGTGCACTCCTGGGCCTGAGTGATGACCAATGGATGGCTATTTGTGTGGGTAGGGTGTGTGAATCATTTGGATATGCAGGCTGGGGTGTTGACACATGTGTGTGAAGTCCCTGATGGTGCGGGGGAAGAGAAGGGGACAGGTTAGGGGCTGGGGAGTGGCTCTGCCCATACTGCCATGTTCTAGCACAGAAGTCCTAAGAGCCTCAGAAGTCTAGATTTAAACCTAAACTTCCAGGCCTCTGTGGTTACATATTGGTCAAGGTAGAAGAGAAGAGATTTATTCAATAGTGTTTAGCTTAGTGTATAACTGACCTTTACTCTTGTGTGGTTCCCACAGATGATGGGACAGGAGTGCCTGATAAGAAACCTCAAGATCAGATCAGATAAGGAATTAGAAAAGCAGTCTTAGAAACCGGGATGTTCTTAAGAAACCAGGCCTATTTCCTTTTTTCCTTCTACATTAACTCACTCCCACAGGTTTCTGAATGTAATTCGAGAATCGGTGTGTCTGGAGAGGACAGCAAGCCTGGATTCCCTTTACCCAAGCAAGAATCTAGAGCCTTTCTTTGTCAACCTCTCCCTCGCCTCTAACCCACTCACCTCCTCTAAGTCAAAATTGTCCCACAGCAGCTGGGTTAGAGATCGGTGCAGTCCTGGTCTCTGTTGGCTCTCCTTGCATTTCTGCTGGAAGATGGACAGGTCCAATGATTTAACTTTTCTACCCATGGGATTCTTCGGAAACAGACTCTTTCTTGCTTTGCTCTTCCTTTTCCAAAAAGTCTCATCCTTGGCTGAATGGGCTTCCCTATTGGTGGCCTGTAGACTCCACAGCTCTCTCTTTACCTGTGCAGAGTCTGTGCTCCACTGTAGATCTGCTCTAGGCAGAGAATGTGTGCAACAGGGCGTCTTGGGGTTACAATGCAGAGTTTGTGATGGTGCTTGCGCTGTGGACACCCCCTGCTGTGTTTCCTCTTTAGGGCAGAAGACACATGGGCACATGGAAGAAGAAGTGGGCAGCTTTGTACTGTTGATGGGAGGCACAGCATCTTCCTGTGAGCCTGGCCCAAACTCAGGGTCTTGCTGGAGAACCATCTTCTCTCCTCTCACTCTGTCCATCACTTCCCACACCACTTGGTCCAAACTGTTCCTTTTGGGGTCATTGTGTGGTGATGATAGCCGATCTCGGGGGCATGTATACAGGCACATTTTGGAGATGGCTTTCCGGAGGCGTTCTCTGGGTGAGTGAGGTTCTGGCTCTGGGGCCAGAATCTTGATGGATGGCACATCAGTCGGGTTGTAATTCCAGAGCATGTGGGATGGTGTGAACTTTTGAACAGGTGTCTTAGACACATAGGAGTAGAGACAGAAGAAGGCATCAGCAGTGACAGCCAGTGTTTGCACCTGCTTAAACCTGCCTGGGTATAAGGGTTGAAGATGGTGAGTCTGGGGGGTCATCAGCAAATTATTTATTTAATTGCTCCCTTTCAATAGCCTTTCTAAAGCTTACAATTCAGGAAGAAAGTGCCCATTTTGCCACTAGTCTTTCTCCCATTTAGATTTCTGACACCCAGGATCCCCTTTCTTGACTTCTTGACTTCCCATCGCAGGGAGTTCAAAAATCAGTTTTATACAGGATGAGAAATTTCTCTATCTCGATTTAGCATGTCCTTTTTGATATCAGTATTTTTTGAACAATGTCCTGTATCACTGTGTTTGCTTTAGATGACAAACATGATAAAAATAGCAAAACCAACATTATTTTCTTAGATAGTAACAAAATTTTAGGGTTATAGAAAACTTCATGATAGCGACACATTTGAGGGATAGCAATGACTCACTAAGCAGTGGATGGGGGTAGAGAAATTTAGATGGACGCTATCATTTCTACTAGACCTTTGCTTCTCAAAATGTAGTCAGTAAGTACTCCAATAGTATCAGCATTGCTTGGTGCAGAATCTCAGACTATATCCCAAGAATTTTAACAATATCCTTTGGTAATTCATGTGCACATCCATGTTTGAAAGGCACTGTGATAAACCATATATCCATTAAACTGTAAGCTTCCTGAAGGCAAGAATCCTGTTCCTCTTGTCTAATTGCTGTGCTAACAGAATTTAACACCTAATTATGTACCTGGCACATACAACAACTTCAATAAATAATCCTCAAACTTTAGGGTGATTAAGAATCATCAAAGGTGTNTCAGATCTGGTAAAAGAAACAAAAACAATAAAAAATAAAAATAAAAACCTTCTCCTTGGCCCTACCTTTTATAAATTGTGGTGAAAGTCAAATGGTTTAACTTTCAGCAACAGGGCACCAATAAAAGGGCTGTGAATATGAATTTCTTGAGCATGGTGCAAACGATGAGGAACGGTGAGGACCACCCTGTCCCAGGAACTTGGAAGAAGAGTAAGACTTCTTCTCTGGCAGTGACTAAACGATGGAGCAGGAGGGAAGAGAGCTGACAGCTGAGGACCAGATCCTTTTTTAACAGAAAAGGTACCCTTGTGCTAATTACAGAAAGGCACTCACCTTATGTAGATAAATCAGGGGGGAAAAAAGGAACTCCCTCTTAAAAGATGAAAACCCTTGAGATTTTGGATCATAAACTCAGTAGAGCTGGATATGAACCCCTACTTGCCTCTTTAAGTGGGTGTCTTTGAGCAATGTGAGGACTATACAAACTGGACACAGTGGCTGGCTGGCTGGGCGCTGCTACCACTTCCTACACTTGCCCACATCCCTCCTATGCCTGATAACCAGTCTCAACCAGGTGGGACTTGATACAGAGCTCCTGGGAGATTATTCATCTCTAGGAGATAATTATAGATCCTAGAAGAGGCTGAGTGGGGTTGTTTTTCAGAAGATCTGAGGGACTGCCCACCTATCTCTGCCTTTGATGGGGGTGAGTGAATTTTCGTCTTCCATATTTCTCACACAATCTTTAATCTTTGCAGTACTGAGCTGTTTTCATAGCTATTCCCTTCTTGTGACCTCTTAAAGGATGATAGAAGAATGGATTGAGAGAGATAGTTCATACCTTTGTGAAAAGTCAACTAAACAAACTCACAGAAAATTGGAAAGATTTGGCAACGACTGTGATACTCATCTCAGCCACAGACTGTCAGTGAAGAGATCTCTCATTCTTCCAGAGGCATAGAAGGAAAATCTACAAAATCACTTCATTTACCTGAGAGAAAGTGCATTTAATTTCCAAAGTTACTGTGTTTTATTGACTCTGATAAGCCATTGTTTGTAAGACTTAGAATTAAATTATTTTACATTCCACTAAGGATGAAAAAAAAATTAGACAATTAAATTGGCTGATGCTGACTTGTAAGACCTATTCTATTTGAGAGGTATTAAAATCTGGGGAAATGTGTGCCTTAGACTAAGTGAAATAATAGCATCTCTAACCACAGTCTCCCTTGCTGTAAAGACATCCCATCAATGTGGCAGAAAATGGAATCTGGTAACTTATTTGAACTGTGTAATTCCTAGACATACTTCTCTGGAATAACCATGTAGCTCCTGCACGAAGCCTGCTGTGCTGAACATCTTGGTATTTTCTTGTGCGAGCCTGACATCTGCTGGACAAATAACACTTGAGCAAAGCTTTGTACAGAAGTCCCCCCCAACATTCCCAGTTTGGCTTTCCATTGTTTCAGTAACCCACAGTTAATTGCAGTCCAAAAATACTAAAAGGAAAATTCAGGAAATAAATTCATAAATTTTAAATTGTATGCTATTCTGAGTAGTGTGATGAAATCTCTCCCCATCCTGCTCCCTCCCACCTGGGACGTGAATCATCCCTTTGTCCAGAGCCTCCACACTAGAAACACTCCTCTCCTGTAGTCACTTAGTAGCCTCCTCAGTGATCAGATTGCCTGTCAGGGTATCGTAGAGCTTGTCTTCAAGCAACCCTTATTGTACTTAGTACTGCCATATTCCCATAACTTTGATTACAGCATATTGTTATAATTGTTCTATTTTATTATTAGTTATTGTTGTTAATTTCTTACTATGCCTAATTTATAAATTAAACTTTTTCATAGGTATGTATTATAACAAAACAAAACAAAATATGGTATATATAGGGTTCAGTACTATCAGTGGTTTCAGGCATCCACTGGGGGTCTTGGAATGGGTCTCCCACAGATAAGGAGGAATACTGTGTATATATATAATTATGATTATTCTCCATTTCATTCCTCTATTTATTTATTTTTATCCTTAAAACTAAAGTTAAATAATTTCTGCAAGATCACTGAACTAGTGTGAAGTATGTCATTTGGCTCCATATTTTAAACTTTTCAACTACATATTGCTGCCTTCTGATATTTACCTCTTTTGTGAAAGACTAACTGTATACAGTCTACACCTGGAGATGAAGGTAATGGGTAAGAGAGAAATAAAAGTGTTAAGGGCTCTAAAACCACAGAGAATTAGAATTAAAAGAGCTAGAATCATAAAGATCTTTGTGATTCTGGACTAGTTACACTAAAGTTTTGAAGTATTAACCAAAAAACTATTGGGCTAGGAAGTGCAGTAAATAGTACTAAGACATGCAAAATGGATAGAACACTAAGCAAGATTTATTTACTTAATTCAAGAAAGGTTTTGGGCTGGCTGAGTGGCGTGTTGGTTAAGAGTTGGCTTGGGAAACCAGCTCTGAGCAGCAGGGCCCCGATTCGGATCCCACATGAGGGCCAGTGACGCTGCACCCTCTACAGCTAAGATGGTGAACAACAGCTCAACCTGGAGCTGGGCTGCTGTGAGTCGCCGGCGATGGTGTAGGCTGCA